TTGACCTTTGCTTGTGGGCTATTTACAAGAAGCTGGAACCAGGCTCACACTGCACTGCCTGAGCAGTGCAAAAATAAGGCAAGTACAGGCTAAATGCCAGGATGAACAGGTACGCTTTGCTAAGCTTTGGATGTGTTCAGTGACAGATGCTGCAGCCTGGAGGTTTTCATGGGTATGTGTCACCTGTCATGAGCTGCAGATAGATCCAGGCCCTTTTTAGTCAGGGAAATGCAGGCAGGCTCAGTGCTCAAGACAGAAGGAGGAAAACAGTGAAGAAAGTCATCTCTCCTCCCCTCATGGCTGGTGCAGCCTTTCCTGTACATCAACACAAGCTAAATCTCTCTTGTCTAGACTTCCATCACCTTTCATCTCCTTTGCTGTTACCCCTTTTAGTGTCGGACACAAGCTGCTTCTCTTCCTATTCAAAGCTCTTCTTGGTCTCTCTTGACCTTGTGTTCATCACTGGAATTCCACCATTCCACCAGTAAATAGAGATGGGGCTTCTTTTTCTGACTTACTACAATGGAACAGAGGCTTCCTTGTCTGTTGGTTAAACACTGTAATAATGCACAAGCCTTCTTTTCTTCCTCCAGCTCCTTCCCTTGCATCCATGCTTGAAAAAATAGTTGTGGCTGGAATTAAGGGTTACCTGTCCATTTGCAACCAGGAATAATTGACAGAACCCTTACAGGACTGGTACCTGGTGTTTCTTGACCAGGATAACTGAGGTAATAAGGAATGGATTAGTCATCCAGACATAAAAGTGGGAATTAGCATCATATAAAAAGTTTACTTTGACATCCTTTACTGGCCATGTCACATAGGCAGAATTCTGCATAGTTTGGTAGAAGACCAGATTGAAAAATGAAATTATTGAAAAATGAAATGATTAATTGTTGTACATCTCTGAAGCACAGCAAGTAGGAAAAAACCCTGTGAAGTTCAAGGGACATTAAATTTTTTTGGAATTAGATTTCAGTGTATCTGTAACTTCATGAAAGGAAAGATAAAAACATTCTGGAATTCAGCTTTTCAGTTTGCTATATTTTACCATATGATTGAGTTTAAATGTATTGGTGTATTGGATATGTTTTTTCCATTTAAAAAGCTCTTGTAAATGAACTATTTATTTACATGAAAGAAAAGGATTTCCAGTGCAGCCCACAATACTTCTCCCTCCAAGCCTGCCTTGAAAGAAGCTTGCCTTTTCATATTTGGCTCCAGCTTTCAAAGTTCTCAAAATGAAAAAAATAGTATTCTTAAAACTAAATAAAACATATATATTAGTATTTCTGGCAGAATGAAAGAGCACTTCTCCTGAATAGACCTATTTGAATGGCTACTCAATGTTTTGTAAGAAAAATATATTAAAAAGTTGAAAAAGCCTGCTGAATGAAGGTAAGGGAGAGAAACAAAATATAAAATGTGTCATGTGAAAAAAAAAAAAAAAAAAAGAGACCCTTTATCCAAGAAGATCTTGGTAAAACTTTAAATGGAAAAGTGACACTCATCAAACGATTTCTATATCATCTGCACTGAATAATTTACTTTTGGGTGAGATTCACTAACATCATTGCAGAGGAAGTGTAATTGAAAATTATGAAAGCTATATCTTTATTGTGTATTACAGCACATGCCTTTGATATGGCGTTATGTCTGCCACAGCGGGAAGTGTTTTTCAGAAAAAGTCAGATCTCTGGGACAGATTCTCAGTGGTGTAAATCAGTGTTACTGCACTGACAGCATCATATGTGAGAAAGCCTCTGCCTGCTTCTTACATGGGTAGAGCTAGGGAAGAGCTCTGCTATTTTGTTTATTATGGACAGCTCCAATGTGACCTTAAAATTCTGGGGTCTTCTGCTCTAAGTTTATATAAATATCTATTTTCTCCCAGTGCAGTTTAAGCCAGCCTCATTAATGATCACTATCCAATGTCACAGGTTGCCGTGGTACATCCTGGATCTAAGCAGCCTCTTGTTCGAGGCCTTGACCGAGCACTGGCTTTGACAGCACAGACACTTCAGCTTCAAAAGGTGCTTCAGAAGTGGAGTCTGAGTAGGAACCGGTCTGAATACAGAACTGGTGTCTAAATTGATGAAGATATGCTGGCTAAGGACTTGTAAATGTGTTTTACAACGTACATGGCAAGTCCAATGTATTTTTTAATTCCTCCAAGAGTATCTGAATGATTTAGGCCGCATTCCCTGGTGATTTAGAGAAATTAGCCCCCCTTGCCAAGGGCTGGCAAAAAGGGGCAATGCTGGCTTAAGGCACTTAAGCAATGTTTGAGCAAAATGTTTTAGTCTGGCCACGAGTGCTGGGCTGATCTCTGGCTGGGCAGAGCCCCGGTGCCCCAGGAGAATGGCCACCAGCTCCTCCAAGCTCAGCTGCCTCCCAAATGACTTGTGCTGGTGGAGAAAGTCTGCCCAAAGTAGAACACCATGAGTGACATTAGCATTCGGAGAGCATCTGTTCACCCATCCCCAGTTAGCGTATGACTGTCAAACTGAGACACACGTCTATTCCCAATCCAACTCCTTAACCCCTGCTTTGCCTAACCCACTGCCACGGCTCCCAGGGCCGTTTCTCAAGGGAGAGGCAGGCCTGAGCTGTGCTCATCTGTACATGAATTAATGATGAAGGCCTGACTACCTTATTAGCAAACATCCCTGTTGGCAGTGCAAGGAGAGTGCCTGACCCCACTACGGGCAGCTCTCAGATGGACATTATATCTGCCTCTCTTGGCCGAACGCCCTACCCTGCTCGGGGACGTGGGTTTACTGTTCTGGAGGAGAGGTGGGAATTTTGGCAGCCTTGGCAGCTAGGAGGTGTTAGCCATCATGAGTGAAAATCTGTGCGGGTGGTATGGGGACCTGGACTCAATGAGGTGCAGGTTTCTTCTGACTTCTTCAGGTGAGCCTTAGCTAAAAAAAGGCCAGCAACCCCTCTTGTAGTCAGGAAAAAACAGTGCCAGGAAAAGCCCAGGAAGCAGAATTCCACACCAGAATTGCCAGGAGTACATATTCACAAAGGGCAATGGCACAAAGCACTTTTTCCTTCAATGCAGGTTTGCATGTCTCCTTAGTGCAATTTCTGCCCATGGCTAACAGAAACCCTAATCTGTCCCACTCTGTTGAAGTGTGTGTGTATGTATCGATGAGTAGAATCTGAGTAATAATTAATATTTGAATAATAATTCAGAGCACCTTGCATAGCAACTGCTGTTTTTTGGAAGAAAAGAAGGTAATTTTGTTATTTTAAGTAGTAGTCTTACTGTCTTTGTGTTGGAGATAATTCCAGAGCTGACACCATTAAACTGTCAGCATTTGCCAAGAAAGACCACGCAGTAACCACAGGTTTTGTTGTGCTACCCACCATGGAGTGCTGGCTTCTCCAGGAGAGCAGGATCAGGACTTGTGGTATTGATCCAGAGAGGGTTTTGGCTTTCAATATCCTTTCAATGCCATTCATTGACAGTCCTGTGAGAAATGCATCACATGCTTCATCCCTAGGCCAGCAAGGGTGTTCAATTAGCAGCTGGCCTTGTGGTGGAATACTGGATTGAAACCCTCAGGGATGCAGGTTTGACTGTCCAAAGGGCTCCTTGTGTGACCTTGGGCAAACACCTGAATCCCTCTGCTCATGTGGCCATCTGCCCCCTGCCCAGATGTTTGGGGAGGTTCTGGCACTCTTGTGCCTTGATCTTGTTTTCAGCTCTCACAGTGCAACTGTGATGTGAATATCAGTACTTAGAAGAGTGCATTGCTTGCTCGGCTTCTCTTTTCAAGAGATTTTGAACTTTCTCTGAGTTAATTTATTTCCTAGCACAGAATGATTTTTAAATCGTTTGCTGCTTAAAACTTTGCAAGCAGTCAAGGGGGTTTGCTCAACAATGGCAAATTAATTGTTTTCCAAGACTAGTGAAAAATGTCAGTGTGCTTGTATTCCAGTCCCTGAACTGTTAAAAAACCCATTCTCATAGGTGTTTTAAATGTAATGCATTTTCAGATACCATTTTTTAAATGTCCAGTGGATAGAATTTTATTATTTTTTTTTAATTTCCTTCATCTGATCTAGGTCTTTGATAAATACTACAGACAAACTGAGTGCTGTAGGATCAATCTTGACAGTTCTTCAATAAAAGGCTGTGTGGTTCTTCGTCAGTGTCTTCCTTTCAGTGACAGCTGCTTTGTTCTTTTTCAGTCAGATTTTCTAGTTAACACATCAAAAGTGTATCTGTGTACATGAAGTACTGAGAAAACAGTTCAAAGAGGCAGGAGATTCACTTTTAACTCTTCACTGCATCTCCCTGCACTTGTCACAGAAGATAGCTTATACTGAAAGCTTCAGAACAAGGTGAGTAGTTCACCAAGGAGCACTGTGAAGTACAGCACATGTGGATTAGTCTTAAAACACAAACTGGTCAGTCAATCCACTTACCATCCCAAATCAGCTTTCTTTTGAGCCAAGCCATTAAGTGATAAGAAGTTTTCAGGTTTAGGCAGCAAAAGCCTCACATTGGACACAGATAAAGCCATATGTTTGATCCCGCACTGAAGTTTTGTCTGATGGTTCTTGCTGTGGTGTCAATACCTTAAAGCTAATTAAACTGAGTTCAGTGTTCAGTTTAAACTTATTTCTTTGGAGGGTTGCCATTAGCTTCTAAACCAAGGTAAATAGTAAGGACAAGCAGCTGCTTTGCATATCATTTATCTTATCTATTGCGACTGAAAACTTATTTCTGACTGCATTTTTAATTGCTCACGCTTCACCCAGCAGTTCAGCAGTGTGGCACAAAACTTGGGATGCTCTCTGCTACTTCACGGCTATTAAGCAGTGCTCAGGTAAGGAGCCAGATCAGCAGAGAATGTGCTAACTCAGGAGAGCATATTCCAGGCATCCTGTCCTAGTCTGAGCAAGGTTTCAAACCTGTGCTAAAATCTGGTTAATGTTAAATCTTACAGGAAGTTCTGGTTTTGAGTGCCTGTTCTCATGAGCTGTCTCCTGAGTAAGACCAGAGAAAGCAGTTGAGATTAGCAGGGATGTGAGCCTCCTCCAGGATTTCTATCAGCCCTGTGGCACTACAGTAGTCACAGTGGCAAACTCTTAATTGCTCCTATTTCTCTCATTCATCCTTGTTTTTATTGTACAGCAGTTCAGAGCATCCTTGTGCCTCTGCACTTAAAGCTACTCATTGTATCCTAAGCAAGAGGATGTGTCACACGTTGGTGGGAAGGAAGAGGAGATGTCACTGTCCCAGCAGTGCCAGGAGGCAGGAGGGGAGCAGTGACCCCTTCCTTGCCTCCCTCTGTTCTTCCCCCGGTGCTGCTCCGCTCCCCTGTGTGGTCTGTGGTGCAGGTAGGGGCTACAGCCTCCGGTGGGGAAATTTCCTGTCTTAGCCAGACCTTGCCTGTGAAGTGTGAGCTGTTAAAGGCACACAGGAGCTGTGTTTGTTCAGAGGCAGCTGTGTTCTCCCTAGCTCAGCACTCCCCAGCAGCTTGCTCTGACATGTCCTCTGTTTGACTCCTGCAGATAATGGAGACCAGAAACACGAATCTTCCTGGAATGAGCCCCACCAGACAAGCTCTCCTCAGGCTGCCCTTGCTGCACCCTCCTGTGGGACAAACAGCCTCAGACACCAGGTGACAGAGTGTGTGGGAAGGCAACATCAAAGCCAGTGCTTGTTACAGACCCTTCCTTGAGTCCTGTCATCTCAGGAGTGGGCTGGACACCCCGGTGGCAAAACCAGCACATTTCCACAGGATGGGATTTATATGGTCAGGGGATTTGTGTAGCAGCTCTGGAAGAAACCATCAAAGGAAGGACAGCTGGTTACAGGAACAGATAAGGAGGTATGTACCACAGAATGAGGATTCTTGCAGGAAAACAAGGGGGAGCTGGTGATTTATGTGCAGTAGAAATTAGTCATCATTAAACCAGATGGGTTGGAGGAATGAGAGGGTGGAGCCCTGGGAGGAGGGGAGTGAGTCCAGCAGACACATCCTCCAGGAGATGCAAAAAACTGTTCTGGGTTCCTCTTGGGTGTCAAGGGAGCAGGAATATGTGCAGGAGAGGTCCTCTGGACCTTAGATCCTGGGTGCATCCAGCTGCTCTGCAAACATGAGTGAAGCACCTCTGCCTAGCAGAGTTGACTCTGCTAGGAATAAAGACTCTGGATAAAGAAATTCTTTATTCCAAATTCTTTATTCCAAATAAAGAATTTGGAATAAAGACTCTGCCTAGAGAGTCTTTATTCCAAATTCTGATGGGACACAAAGCTGTAAATGAGGAGACAGTGCTTAAATGACTGAAAGAGAAAGACGGCCACATCTGAAATTTTATGTGGACATGTTTTGGTTACAAATGAAGAGTCAACACAGTGAAACTATGTATAATTAAAAGCAAGAGGTGGAGAGAACACTAATGAATGCTACAGAGCTTCTGGTACAGAGGATATGTTTTATATCAAATGTATAGTTTCAATGTTTCTGGAATATATTCTAGTATGTGACTAGTAATCATTATTTCTGGAAACTAGGCTTCTCCCTCTCATCTATACTGTATTGTCAAATATTACATGAAATTTACCTAAACCAAACAAAATAAATACTCCTGCAGATATGATTTAGGATATAAAATTAGGCACTGAATAGATGATAGAATTGATTTTGATATTTAAAAATTCCCAACAGAAGACTCCCTTGGGGTAGCTGGATGTGTGTTTAAATGTATTTGTTTTGCACAAAGATGACTTTGCAGGTAGCTGAAGGAGATATCCAAGGAGTAGCTGAAGCAGACAGAGTACAGGGCAGCTGCCTTCCAGAGAAGACATGTAGGTACAAGAAAGAGGTGCTGGAGCAACCAGGTCTGTCACTTTGTCCTCCCATCATTGTTTCTCTGTGCTTACATTTCCCAAAAACTCTATATTGTCCACCAAGTTTGCAACTCCTTTGTTGGTTCCTTTAAACCTCCACATCCATTTTGCTTCCACAAACAGGATTTTTCTTCTTACTACATTGGCTGGGATATAAAATCTGCAATGCTGGCCCCATTTTAACCAAACTCCTGAATCTTTTACCCACCCTGAAAAATATCAGTAGGAATAGCCTCATTAATTTCAGTGGTCCTCTGCCATCAGCTGGTGTTATTAACAATAGTGAGTGAAGAATCTGGAAAAATGTTTTTTATACACTGTCAGCCAGGTAGAAAGGTGGCAAAAGGAGTGCATTTAAAATCAGCATTTATTTGTCAATATCAGAGTATGCACTGTCAGTAACCTCTGGCTACACTGTTTTATCATGTCAATATTTCATAGCATCATAATGCTATTATACGGCTGACTAATGGGAATGGCTATTAGCAGTGTTGATGTAGTTTGAAAATAGCAATCCATATTTTATGGACCAGAAAGAGACCGAGCCTTTACCTTAGACCTTAGCAAGCATAAAAAGGGAGATAATGTAAATGAAATTTACCTTCTCATTTCCATCTTCCCCCAATTAGTTCATAATTCACATATTGTCCGTCTGCTTTCATGCTTTGAATGCACTTACACAAATTAAAATATCCTGAGGAGGTCTGTTGAAAATTCATCCTTTTCTAGGTTGAGGTAGCACAGACAGCTCTGCTCTGCAGCCTTACTAAATCACAGCTGTCCTTTATGTTGTGGGCTAGGCAGTATTTTGAATGATTTACTAAAGTTACCGACAGAGGATATGGACCATCACTGCAGGGTGTCTTGGCAGGCAAGAACCTGGGACTGTGGCTCCCCAAGGTCTCAGCTGCTGACCACAATACCTGTGACCACAGCCAGGCTTGGGGCAGATGGAACAGCTTAACTGGGAATGTGCAGATCTTACACATGGATGTAGTCTTCTTTCAGGCACTGGCCATGTTTACCTGTGTGAGTATGCAAAAATATGAAATGCTTTGGTGCCCAGCAGAGAAACACACAGCTCTGTCCAAAATCCCAGTTCCTCTCACCTAAAAATGCAGATCCCCTTGGAGCTCTGGACCCCTTGGAGGCCCAGAAGGAGACAGACAGGTCTGCTCTGAATCTGTGCAAGTTTCTAATACATCCTCTGGAAGGGCCAAGAAAAAAACCTATTAGGCTGTAATCATCCATCTTCTGCACTAACCTGCACTAGACCTTCATGAAGTTAAATCTATGACATTAAAGAGAAGAGAAATGAACATTGCAAATGGCCTGTGAATAGCCTGACTCTGAGAAGCTGCCATAATGTGGTTTTACACAGGCCGACTAAATATACTTTAATAGTAACCTAATGGTGGAGCTAGAAATTAAATAGATTGTGTGTTAATTAGGTATTGGTTAATGCTATTATTTCACTTCATTATTCCATATTCCGCTGTTGAAATCTGGAATCCACCCCGCTGCTGAGAGGCTGAAGTTGTCCCAGACAGTGCAGAGCTGCAGAGGATCCCAGGCATGTAATTCTTACACCCACCTGAATCTTTTGGGGTGTGACACAAGCACATTTACTCAGTGAGAAAAGCTGGAATGACACATCTGAACTTTGTTACTTCAACAATTAACAGCATATTATTAGTACATTATGAAATTCTTCCTAATGAAAAAAAAAAATCTCCCCAAGCTAGAAGATCATTAGTAAAGTATTCAGAGAAGGTGATGGGAAAATTTTGTCAAGACATCCCGTTAAAATGTTTTAGAATTTTTACGTTGGCCTTTATTGTCCCCATTACACAGTATGCATTATTTATTAAAGATGCTGGCTACACAGTACTGGGCAGCAAATTGCCCTTTAAGCCACGTATTAATGAACAAGTGTTAAAACTTCCCAAGAAAGGGAGGATTTGGAAACACAACCTTTCCCAGAGAGAAAGATGAATTGTCAAAATTCATTTTACACGATGGCCACACTCCCTGTGGATGCAGTGAGTGAGCAGTGCTGAGATAAACTTGGTGGAAAGAGTGGTAATGTAACTTAGTGAAACTGAATTTATCCCAAGGCTTCTTTAAACTCCTTTGTCATGAGTATTTCCCTTTGGATCAAGGCATTAACTGTACACAGTATTTTCTTTGGTACAGTCATTGGTCCAGTAATGGGCAGGACTTACACTGCATTGTCACAACAGTCAGTTCTAGAAAGAAAAGGAGGAGAATGTAAAAGATAATGATGTTTTCCCAGAGGGAAAAAAATTCTTACCTATTTGAGTCAGCATTGTGGATTCTCAAATACTTGATGGTTTTCTATTCAGATTTTGCAGAAAAAATCCCCTTATTTTCTTTTTTCCTCTTGAAATCAGATGCTTTAATGTTCTAGTTATGATAAAAACTAGTTTATTTTTCTCTTTTTTCTTGGGTTGGTTTTTTGGGTTTTTTTTTGGTAGTCATGTCATGTTTAAAAGTCTACACTTTCAAAAACAATTGGCATGCCTTCACCTGTCCCTTGGGACATTTTATTAGCTCCTGATTCACAGTCAGCCCCAGCCTTTGCTCTCTGGCAATCAATTCTCTTGGGCAGCCACCCAAAAAGAGCAGCTAAACCCAGCAATCTCCTCCTGAAATCCAGAGTGATGTGCTGTTTGTGATGTGCTGGTTTTTTTGTGCTGGGGAGGATTTCAGCATTCCTGGGATACCTGCCTGGAGGTGCTGTCCTCCCTCCTGAGCTGAAATGGGGGTCCAGCACCAGGGGACACGAGTCTAAGCTCAATGACATGATGTTTCAGCCCCTGGCATCTCACCCAGCATGAACAATTACAGCTGTTGGTTTGCAGGATGGGACAATCAGATAATTTTCTTCTTTCACTGTTTTACTGTTAGCCTCACACCAGGATTTCATTCCATGAAATCCATATGACTGCAGTCTATATTCTCCCTAAACTTTATAAAAACATCCTTTGAGTACTTGAAACTTCTAGTGCTTTTAGAAAAGTTAATTTTCAGTCTTTTCTTTCTTTCTCCTGGTTTATCATTTCCCAGCTCCTGCCATGACACAGCTACAAATCCTCTGATGCAAAGCCTGCTCCATCAGAGACCAACATCTCCTTATCCAAGTGAGTAGGGAAGAATCTGCTCCTCAGTAATTAATGCAGGAACCATCAGATCATATGAAATCCCAGGCTATGGAGACATAATTTTGTAGGTAAAAATGACCCATAAGAGCTGCCCTGGAGCTAAATTCAGTAATCTTTACAGTAGGTCATAATGAAAGAACAGGCCAAAGGAAATGCCTCCTCCTTGCTCATGTTCCTTACAGGCTGGCACATGTCTTATATTTTAAGACATTTCAAGCCCTTTCTGCTCTAATTATGTGCAATGGTCTCTTCCTCCCACCCTTTTATTTTTAAAAATTTGCAGAGATCCTCCTTTCAAGAGGATCTTTCTGTTGGCAATGGGCTTTGTAAGCTGCTGACTGCAAAATCTTCCTGTTTTAATCTATTCCAAACTAGCACTGCACTGTTAAAACAGCTCTACTGCTTTTCATGCTGCTCAACTAGCTGGGTTGGAGTGCTGCAGAAACAGTCCTGATCACAGAGTGAGCTTTAAAAGCATATGATTTAATCTAGGAAATTTGAATGGAAATATTTTAGGACAATGTTTTCCATTTTTTCTGGTAGTTAAAAGGCATTAGAAAATGTTAGCTTGGAGAACAGAGTGCAAATAAAGCATTTGTACAACACAGATAAATTATTTTCACCCCATTTTACTGAAACAGAAATCATAAGGGTTTTTTTTTAAAGAAAATTGTGGATATGAATTTGTAATCCAATATTTATTGGCCCAGGTTTCTTCAAAATATATGGTTTCCAAATCTGAATTTAAATATTTATACTCTAGCACATATTCCTGATATAGCTAATATAAGTA